TGAAATAAATCTAAATGATGTCCAGTATCTAAAATCAAACGATAAGTTCCAATGGCTTCAACTGGAGCTTTGACTTGATTTCCCATGAGGACAAACTTTTCATTTGGATTTATGGTCTGGGTTGAAAGGAATCATTGCATCGTATTAGTAACATGAGTAGTACATTCGGAATCGATCCACCAAGTATTATAATGAACTTCTGCCAAATTAGATTCGAAACATACATAAGAAATAATCTTACCTTTACTTTCGAACCATGCCTTACGTTTCAGGCAGTCCTTTTTATGGTGCCCAGGTTTGCGACAGAAATGGCACGTATCCTTTTTGTGTTCCTTATTGTGGATATGAGCAGAAGACTCATTTATCTTTAGTGGTCCTTGCTTAATGCCCTTTCCAGATCTTTTCTTATATTTCTTTCCAACTCCTTGATGACTTACGAGATGAACAGAATGAGTTCCTTGATTCTTAAGCCTTGTCTCCTCTTGCACGAGCATACTGTGCAATTCATTCACATTCCATTTATCCTTTAAGGTATTATAGTTCATATGGAATGGACCGTACTTGGGAGGCAAAGAGTTGATGATAAATTGTACTAGAAAGTTCTCATCCACAGTCATCCCAAGAGTCTTAAGTCTTGCTGCAACGTTACTCATTTCAGTAACATGCTCATGCATGGTACGAGAACCATCAAATTTCATGGTGGTTAAGGTACTCATCAGTGTGCCAGCAAATGATTTGTCAGCTGTTTGGGAACGTTCTTCCACAAACTTCATATATTCCTTAGCATTCTCAGTTTTAGGGATAGTAGACTTGATATTCTTTGCTAAGGTCATCCGCATAAACATTAAGCTTAATCTGTTTGACCTTTCCCAAACTTTATGGACAGATCTTTCATCAGCACTGCTCTCATCAGTAAGATCAGCAGGTTTCTCAACTTGAAGTGCCAAGTCCAAGTCCAAAACACCTAAGTTGAACTGAACTTATTCACACCGGTCAGAGAAATTTAGCCCATTGAATAGTGGTACAGATGAAGCATGCGAATGCAGAGAAACGAGAACAGATACTGGAAAATATAAAATGCTCTAACATTAATACTTTAAGTTTTAATTTCAAATTCAGATAACAATAGATGTATAGCGTAATTCTCCTTTGGGTGATATTACGTTATACCATCATAATAAATATAATGATGCTAATTAAATTTCACTTAATTGGTAATTAAATATACTCTAATCAAACATGTATGATATCTTTGGATATACAAAACACATCCGACCAAGTAAATTAATTAACCACGATCATGTTCAAGATTAATAAAATTAATTGATCAACCTTTGGGCGATCCATACTAATTTTATAATCTTTGAACTTCAATATACTCTTGACACCAATAATAAAGTCATTTTCATTTACAAGCATCAAACTATCAAGAGTAATTGATAAATAAATTATGTAATTTAGCTTTCAAAATATCATAATGTTTGGCCACTTTGGTGACTAACAAACAACATTAATCGAACATTAATCACATAAATAAAACATTCATATAAATGACTCATCAAAACTTTCGAATAAATCACTTTCTATACCAATTATTGCTTGTAAAATAATTACCACACAATATTCATTGTTGACAATAACACAAACAAGGCAATGAAGGTTGTTAAACTAGATATAATTTTACTTAATCCATAATTTAAATCTTAAAATGATAGACGTGCATTGGCCAAAAGCAATCAAAACTAACTTCTGCAACACTGTACACTTCTGCCAATGTTTTTCGTGCATTAATTGGTTTTGCAATTTCAATTTTACACGTTACTGCTTCTACCTTTTCTATATTCTTTGTAAAGGTGTGATCAAGTCCATTTAATTTATGGGCATAAAATATTCTGAAAGTCGATGGTCACTGTCATATATGAATGGATCTCCAGCATCAAATCTTATCCTTTGAAAATGCTACAGCTTAGTCAAGATTTTTCTACTGGCACTTTTAATGCACATATTCAAAGGCAAATAAAGAATTGGACTTTACGAATGACTCTAGCAGTTTCTTTCTGGTTTTTCCCATTCCTTCAAATAGATTAAGTCAATTTTACAGTTTAACGCTACGAACGATTTACGTATTTTAATGCAGCCGTGAATTCCAACAATAATTAGTTTCAATAATCTCAACAAGAACCTTGATACCGAGATCTATAAGAAATAATTAAGGATCGATAGGTGAAAAACAATAATCTTAAGAGGAAAATCAAGAATTCTTTAATCATGGCTCTGATACCACATGTAAGACATTAAACCCTAATACCAAGATCTTTAGAATTCATGATTTTCACATATGAATTTTAATTCATCAAGAAACATACCTTGATCCATGGCAATAATTGAGAATTTTAGATCTGCAAAATAATAAACTGTTAAATTAAAGAAACAGTTCTCTCACTTTTCCTCTCTTTTATTGAATGAATTAATTGATGGGTTTCATTCACATTTATAGGCAGAGAGAGGCAGCCTCCTATGTGCCATAAAACTCTCCACTTTTCATCAAAGTAGACAATTATAAAATTACCATTTCTCAATTGGACCAATAGAATTTTAGTAATATTAATCACCTTTAATTAATTCTTTAATATTCCATGGACCACAAATAATTGGTTTTACATTAAAAACCCATTTGAGCATGTTTATATTCATCTTTTACCTTCATTATTTCTTCCACGTGGCTCTTTAAGGCTGAAGAGCTAGACTGAACTTGGCTTGCTCGTGTTAAAACTTCATGTAGTACGCTACCTTGACTTTAAACTTCATCTATGTACCCAAATAAGCCCTTTACTATTTATATGTTTTCTGGAATTTTCAAAGTAGTACACATTTGAAATTTGATTTACCACAAATTATATCACAGATTAACCAATAAGAGGGGGCTTGAGGCAGCAGTAGATGCAGCAGCAGCCTTCCTAAACAAAGCGGTGAAGCCAGTGATCATTGGGGGCCCAAAACTTCGCGTTGCAAAGGCGTGTCAAGCATTTGTTGAACTGGTTGATGCATGTGGATATGCAATGGCAGTGATGCCCTCGGCCAAAGGGCTCGTCCCTGAGCAGCACCCTCATTTCATTGGCACTTATTGGGGTGCAGTAGGAACTGCATTCTGTGGTGAAATTGTGGAATCTGCTGATGCCTATTTGTTTGCTGGACCAATCTTTAACGACTACAGTTCTGTTGGATACTCCCTCTTACTAAAGAAGGAGAAGGCGATAATTGTGCAGCCCGACCGTGTTGTTATATGTCACGGCCCAAGTTACGGTTGCGTGTTAATGAAAGATTTCCTTCGCGAATTGGCAAAGAAGATTCAGCGTAACACGACTGCCTATGAAAATTATAAGCGTATTTACATTCCCGATGGAGTTCCTCTCAAGAGCGAGCCTAATGAGCCTCTGAGAGTGAATGTTTTGTTTCAGCACATACAGAAAATGCTGTCTAGTGAAACTGCTGTCATTGCTGAAACAGGGGATTCTTGGTTCAACTGCCAGAAGCTAAAATTGCCAGAAGGATGTGGGTAGGTAGCAAAGCACATAGCAATTTTGTGCACTGATTTCAATTGCAAAAATTAGAGGGACAAAAGTTTGTGTTGCAGGTATGAATTTCAGATGCAGTATGGATCGATTGGATGGTCCGTCGGTGCTACACTAGGCTATGCCCAGTCTGCACCCAAAAAACGGGTGATTTCTTGCATTGGTGATGGAAGCTTTCAGGTACGCTATTTTAATATTCAAGATCTGGGGTCAAATTGTCAAGTTATCGTAGCACTCATATCGATATCTTTGTAACTTTAGGCTGAGCGAAGTGTGGAAACTAATGAATTTTGTGAGTGTATGATATTTTCTTTCAGGTGACTGCGCAAGATGTGTCAACAATGATTCGGTGTGGCCAAAAGAGCATAATTTTTTTGATCAACAATGGTGGATACACCATAGAAGTTGAAATCCATGACGGGCCATACAATGTGATCAAGAATTGGAACTACACTGCATTAGTCGATGCTATGTGCAATGGGGAAGGCAACTGCTGGACCACAAAGGTATATATGCTCGACTAATAAACAGTATAGAACTTAACGAACTGGTCCTTGGGCAATCAAGATGTCCCATGGCTTAAGATTGGTGACATATATTGCACGTCCAAAGTTTGCCTAAGTGGCCGATTCTAGTCCACGAGGGTCCATGTTAACCTTTTGACGTGTTATGTTGTAGGTACGATGCGAGGAGGAGTTGATGGAAGCTATTGAAACTGCAACAGGAGAGAAGAAAGATTGTCTATGCTTTATAGAAGTGTTAGCTCATAAGGATGATACTAGCAAAGAGCTTCTTGAGTGGGGATCAAGAGTTTCTTCAGCTAATAGCCGTCCTCCTAATCCACAGTGAAATTTTTATTTTTCTAAAATTCATGATCCCAAATTCTAGGGTTTATGTTAGCTTTAGAAACTTTGATTTTGGGTCTTCGAGGACGTGTTAACATGGTTTGATTTTAATATTTTCTATTGCGATTCATATAATGTATTATTGAAATGAATAGATTTCTTGCCCAAGCTTATTGTTGCGAAAAGATGAGAAATAAAGAAATATTTGAACACTTTCCCATTCAAGTTAAAATTATGTTGTTAACAAAATATAGTTAAAAATAAATTTGAGAAAATAGAATTTTTAAATAAGTTGTGTCAAATAAATTTAAACCTGGTTAAATTGATATTTTACGACATCAAATTAAGACCCCGTTTGGCCCTCATTAAATTACATTTCATTACATTTTATTTTTCTCTTTCCTATTTTTAAATATACAATCTTTCATAAAATAATATCACACGTAAATCGAAAACTTTTCCTTTTTTTTCAACCACTCATTTTTAAAAAAAATACTATTTCACCTATTTTTATGACCAAGAAATGGAGGCCAAACAGGGGCTAAGATTAATTAACTTCACCTAAGACGGCATTCAAGTAAGACCAAACAAGGTATAGTTTTCCTTCCAACTCTCAGCTCTCGGAAAACACTTTTCCTCCTCAAACATGCCGGGTCCCGGTCCGCACATGATGTACGCACTCGGGTCGGGTCAGGCGCTGATGAGCATATCGAACGGGCGGTTCAGCCCGCAACACTGCATCTTTTACGCCATTAACGCCTTCTTCGGACCCGATATGGGTTCCTTCGCTGAGTGGCTCACTTCAACAATTGGCTTGGGTCGAGCCGTGGGATCATCCGTCGAGCCTTGGATCCATGACCCGTTTTACTATTGTCTCATTCTGGGCTTCCCTTTGTCAGTTTTCTACGGTTGGGCATCCAGATTTTTCCTCCACAAGGGCATTCTCGATTCCTTTTCTGGGGTCAGTATGTAAACTATTAAGGCTGGTTAAGTACTTCATAATTTATGGAATTAAGTTTTAGGTGCATATAGAATGATTGGAAATTTAATTTCCCTCGTGTTTATTAGAAATTTGATTGATAATTTTTCTTCTGGAACTACAATTACTAGTGTTTGATCTGATATATGAAGCTACAGCCACAATTTGGAACAATGTGAATATAAGGTGATTCAGATTTAACTATCACATGTTTGGCTAGCTTAAAATGTTTATTTATAAGCGTACAAGTAAGATTTTCATTTCTTTGAGCACAGCAAATACAACATGATGTAAGAGGGAAAATGCTAGACACAAAAAAGATTGTGATAGGATGTGTATGATAAAATTCGAGAAACTATAATTTGATGGAAGTAAGATGTTGTAGGAGATGGCGTAAACGTAGTCGTCTGGCTAAATTTTGGATACACTAGCTAACTTTAAGATGCCATTGAATGCTTGGTTTCTCTTGCTTGGAAGTGAGCTGAAATTGGTGTAGGGTAAAACTAGTGTGCGGTATTGATGTACTCCCCCCACCACCAAATTTTACATCAAATATAGTAGTTTATTTTAAACAAGAATAGCAATTTAATTGGTGACTAGTTTTACTTTTAATAGCAGTTGTTTGTGTTTCTACATTTAAATTATAAAAATTTCAAGTAATTTCTTAATAAGATTTACTATTGTTCTTATCTAAACTTACTGCTTGTTTGGTTTAGATTATAATCCCAAAACTTTAATTTTTATCGGACTTTTCACAGGACCCACAACTTGTACATACTTATCCATCACTCATTTCTATCAATTAATAATCTCAGCAATTTATAATCTCTCCTGAACAAGCACTCAAGTAGATATGATTAATATAATCAAAGCTATTCAAATTGATTGAATAATGTAATGGGGAGATTAGAAAAGAAAACTGGTAGGCCTTGTGCAAGATAAAAGTTTAACCCTGGTTTGAGCCCCATTATTTGAAAATAGATTTTGTAAAAAGTTAAATTTTTGGAGAATTTTTGGTTAACAAGTTTTTGATTTACATGGAAAATTAATTTTAGAGAGAATGTGTAGTTGAAAATGAGTTTTAAAGAATAGGGCTCAAACAAGGGTTTAGTTTCATAGTGGACACGATAAGTTGCATTGGTAGAATAGTTAAGATAACTACTTTGTGATAAATAAGGAGGAAATATATTTATTGGCTTATTGCTCAATGATTTCAATATGATCGTTCCTGAACTTATTTCAGTTATGCATGTCTAGTTTAATTCAGTTTCATCTTTTATATGCATATTCTCTTCCTACTTCCGGCTTTATATGAAAGAAACATTGCTCATTTCTAGTATTGATTTGTTGGTAATGGAGTTTATTTGGGTTCAGGTGCCCCTTACTAGGAGGCAGTGCTTCTTGTTGGTGGCTGCAGGATCGTTTTCGCACTTTTTCCTGGACCACTTGTTTGAGGTAATTCTCGGCATTTCTTGGTCTGCTGGTTTTGTGATGTCATTATTCAGGGTTTTCTTGGATTTTTGGCATGAAAAGTTTTACCGATTTCAATTTTGATGGGCTTATTCTTCTTAGAAGCTCAACTCAATAGACTAAGAGTTTTATTGATGGCATCCTTTTCAATAGTGTCACCCACCCGAGAGCTTTCACAATTTGGACCATAAACAAATGATTCATTATCATTCTTGTTTATTGTTTTGTTGTTAAACAGGAAAATGGACATTCTTCCATGTATATGTGGATATTGAGCACTGGATGGTGGAAAAGCCGGGCGCCAATTAATCCTGATGCCGTATTCATTATAAGCATTTTGTGTACCACCTTGATCGGTGGCTTTATTTACATCAATAAGTTCGTATCAGCGAAATTCCATTCAGTAAAACATAAAGGTTTACCAAGTTTTAGGTTATTGATATATTCAACTTTCTGTTTTGATTTTCTCACAGAGTAAAGCCCCAGAAGTCATTGAGAAAACAGTCTCAGCAATCCTTGACACTGCTCCTGATAGTCGCAAGCTTGTACTGCCTCTGGTGCGTGAGCCAGATTTACCTGATTACTCCTCGTCGAGCAGCTGTTGGTGAAGAGGCTGATCTTGGAGTTCTCGTTTTTCTTGGCATTTATTTTTTCTTCCCACATTCGCTGTGCATTTTGTCCATGAACCCAAGGGAATTTATTGACTCGGCTGAACTGCTTCCTCTTTAGCAAGGAATTCCTCCGTATCATTAAGATCCTAAGACAAATATTTCATCTTCTACTGTTTGAAATGTTCTCGTGGAGCAGTCAACAGTTTGGTTCTCCATTTTTGTACAATTATATGCATGTACAACGGCAATCCCGTAAGTTCTCTCTCTTTCCTCCCCCACCCCCCGGCCCGACAATAAAACTCACACAGTCGAATACCATTTACTTTAGGAACATTAGCCTTGTCTTTATTTGAATGAGTAAACATTTTACACATTGTTATTATGTAATTTTTGTGGTTGCAGAGGAAGACTCACGCTGTCTTCATTGATGATGGGATTTGATGCAGTATGTGTACAATAAGAAGATCTTTCGCGACTAGGAGTAGCAGGTTAAATCTTTCCGTAAACTCTCGTTGGATTCCGTAACAGACGAGTCGAGGTACCCAAATTAGTCAACGAATTGCGATTTTTATTCAGCTCATGTAAATTACTGCACGATTAATACATAGTGTTGTATTAAGCTGCAATGGACAAGATTTTAATTTTAATATTTTTTTTTTCTTTTTTAATATTGTTCAGTGTTGTTTAATCTGTTTTGCGAACATGTCATGATAGTATTTGCTTAAGAAGCAAGGAGTGCTGATGACTAAGGCTTCGTTTTCAATTTCAATCACTTTCCTGAACTCCTTATCCTCCAGCTATTGTCTTACTGTGTCATTGCACGCTTATGAAAGATTACCATGCAGATTATTACTTATAAGTCATCTACATAATAAAATAAGTTTTAATTTGTTAATAAATTATAGTTGTTAAAACTTAAGAGGTTTAGACGCGTTTCGATATGTGTCGTGATATTATTGGTCCACATCTTGCCACTCCGTTTTAATGTTGACTTTATTTTAACCATATGATCATAGTGCACGTGTTTCTTTGACCCTACAATATATTATATTAATTAATAGATTATATTATCCTTTAATAATCTGAACTTTTAGACTTGTGTAATTTACTTTAAAATCGTACCTTGGGGTTTTGAAAATAGGATTAAGAGTTTGTTTGGTTTGATTTTTGCTTTTATTTAAACTTTGTGAAAAAAATTTATGAGAAAGTTATCTTATGTCAATTTTTTGGTTAGACAAAGTTCTTGTAAAAAGTAATTAAAATATATTTAAAAATATCTTTTTAACTTTCCAAAACGATTTGTCAAACTGGTCATAAATTGAAGTGTTGGGTGATCTATCCATGACCAGGATGAAGCTTGGGGGAAACTAAGTGGAGGTCCGAACCGATTGATGTTGAAGAATCAGCGGATGAGTTGTGGTTAGAGGTGAAATGTCACTCGAACCCAGAGCTAGCTGGTTGGATTTAATTTAATTATGTCAAAATCAATATATTTTCAAAGGTTCCTGCAGGAATATTCTAGATATTTATTTTAGTGGCAATGAGATAGCTTTCGTAATTAAATTTTGATTAAGTTGTGATAGACATTTCCCCAGTTACGCGGCAACGTAAATATCATTTCTTTTTGTTTTCTTGAAGGCTAAATTCCATTTTATTAATTCATGTAGCTACAAATAATTGGCGATAGTGTGAAAGGTATACAAGAAAGGTCATCGTCTAACAAAAATATCTTCTATAAAGAAAGACGTTATTTTGGGACTACTTTATTTCTTTTAAGAGAGGAATAAAATAGCAAGAGCTACGATCAAAATTTACAAAAACTAACGAGTAATATCACTTTAACATTTGGAGGGAATCACTCGACAATGTCAATGCGAAATCCACATTTGTTTATAAAAGTTTTAAATGCCAACCTCAAACATTATTCAAGATTCTCCGTATATTTTTCTTAAGCTTTTTTCAATAAGAAAGGGTGTAATGACTCATTTTTTGCATGACCATTTACTTCAATTCTAATAGGATTCTTCTAATCTAGTTCTAGCACGATTCCATCACTCTCGTTCAGTACAAATTAAATAACAAAAGTCTATAATAATTCACGAGGAACCCATGAACTCTTGTATAAGCTCTTCAAGAGCAATCGAGTCACAAACAACTTGAAATCTATGGTCATATAATGGCTCAAACATCTTTAATGAATTATTTGCCTCTTTTGTTAATCAGAGTATGATTGATATAAAAATTTTAGAGCAATTTTTTTATTTAAAAATATATGATTAAAAGTGCGAAAAAATAATAATTTATGCACGAAATTATTTTTCGTAAGAATACATAGTTGTATTGACATTAAATTATCTGAAAGCACACGCAAATGAAGTTTGAAAGACGAATTAAAATCCCAAGTCCGTGTCAGTGTCTGCCGAAGTTGCTTAACAATCTTAATGAATTAGTCTACTTAATCCACGTGGTCACCGATTTGCTCAGGTGGGACCCTTCATCCATCACCTTATCGTAAACAACAATTAATTTCTACAAATTATAGGTTACACCGAGGGCCTGTTTGGAAAGAGAAAAATCAAGTGTGAGGAAAAGGTCGCAAAAATTAAAATTCAGATTTTAATTTAAAACAAAACCTACAACTAATTTAATCATACATTTTATGGGATTTACAAATTTTCAACCACAAATTTCATCAACTATTATCCAAATATGATAAAAATCTTGTTTTAGTTCTCACCAAACAGGGAGTAAGAAAATAGTTGGTCGAATATCGAATTCCTAAAAATATTAATTCTCATTTGGATAGTACCAATTAGGCCCTTGTTTAAATCCTATTATTTGACTAAGAATGCGTTTTAAAATAATAGATTAATGGAGAATGCGTAGTGAAAAAATAAGAAAAAATTTTGAGTTTGTGCGTAATATTATTTTATTAAATAATGTATGGTTGAAAAGAATAGAAAAAAAATATTTTAAAAATAATGAAGATCAAATAAGGAATAAATTGGATTAAAAACGTGAATATCGTGGAGATATCAACTAATTAAACTTGAAAATTATAGATCTTTTTCTTCATTTTATTCACAACTTTTTGCCCTTTTCATTCACCAACTTATTTCACAATTCATTTGATACCAAACAAAGCCTCAGAACCCAAATCTACAACCTAAACCCTGCAGGATCGAAGAAACCTCCTCACCCAACCAGTTTACCCCACGTGTCATCACACGTGTCCAGTGATTTCCGAAAGTACAAATCATTGTATCACTCAGTCATCCTCTATAGAAATCAAACAACGCGTATATTTTTGCCACGTATCCCATAAATATCATCTGGTCAACATCTTGTTAAATAGACACCAACTGAAATTTCAAATGCCCTCCATTTTCAGTTATAAAGTACCACAAATCTAGTTCAAAGATAACCCAGAATTTTTATACTCAAAATCTTTAATCTATCTTTCACCAAATGATACAAAAATTTGACCGAAATGATCGCCGGATTCTGAAATTCCCGGCGGTTCATCCCTGTGAAGGCATTTCTCCAGCGATCCTTTTGCAATCTTTGATCAATCTTTCTTATAACATATGTGGTTACCAATCCAAAATCTTCGCATCTCAACGAAAAAACGCCCGTGAAATTTTTCGCCAAGTATCAATTCTTTTAATGTTTTTCGAGGATATACAAGAACGTAGGCCTAATGTTTTGGACTCTGTTGTTCTTAGCTTGTCTGAGCTTCACTCTACCTTTCAAAAAATCCAGTTCTTGATGGAAGATTGCACGCGTGAGGACGCGAGAATTTGGATCCTAATGAAAGCGCATTTTGTGTCGAACCAATTCCAGGATTTAATTCGGGCTATTGCTACTGCTCTTGATGTTCTTCCATTGCGATCAATTCATGTATCGAATGAAGTTAAGGAGTTGGTCGAATTGTTATCGAAGCAAGCAAGGAAAGTGAAAATGGAGCTCGATGAAGAAGACGAAAATGCTCTGAAGAGAGTGATTTTGATCTTAAATCAATTCGAGAATAAATTCGAGCCAGAACCTTGCTTAATCAAGAAAATTCTTGATTATCTAGATATTAGAACATGGACAGATTGTCATAGGGAAATCAAATTCTTAGACGAAGAGATTTCCATGGAGTACTCGAAAAGTGATGGGAGGGAAGTACCTTTATTGAGCAGTTTAGTCGGTTTCTTGAATTACTGCAGGGCAGTTCTGTTCGAGGATTGTGATTTTCGATATGTTGATCAATCAGAAGTGAAGAGTAACCTGGAAATGTTAAGTTGTTTGAATCTTGAGGATTTTCGCTGTCCTATATCATTCGAATTGATGACTGATCCGGTAATAATCCCGACCGGCCAAACATACGATCGTGCTTCAATTCAAAAATGGCTGAAATCTGGGAATTTGAGCTGTCCTAAAACCGGGGAGATGCTAACAAGCACGGAGTTGGTGCCTAATACCAGTCTACGCAACCTTATTCAACAATTTTGTGCAGAATATGGAATTTCTCTGTACAAATCAAGAATGAAAAATCGCGATATATCAAGGACTATTTCACCAGGGAGTCCATCTTATGCAGAAGCTATGAAGTTTCTAGCTGAATTTCTCGACCGGAGGCTTTATTGGGGTTCGAGTTATCAGAAAAACAAGGCTGCGTATGAAATTCGGTTGCTGACTAAGTCGAATATATTCAACAGGTCTTGTTTGATCGAAACCGGCACTATACTGCCACTCGTGAAATTACTTACTTCGACTGATCCTTCGACTCAAGAAAATGTGATTTCTGCTTTGTTAAAGCTGTCGAAAGATTCGTCTGGCAAGAAAGAAATTATCGAAAACAGGGGATTGAAGTTTATTGTTGGACTTCTTAAAGATGGACTGAAGTTAGAAACTAGGCAAATTGCAGCTGCAACAATTTTCTATCTGTCATCGGACAATGAATACCGCAAGTTGATTGGAGAACAACGGGAGACTATCCCATCCTTGTTAGATATCATCAAAGAAGGGACGACGTGTGGGAAAAAGAACGCTGTTGTGGCTATTTTCGGATTATTGCTCGACCAGAAGAATCGTCAGAGCGTGCTAGAAGCCGGGACAGTACCATTATTGGTAGAATTATTAGTTTCTTCATCTGATAAAGTCGAACTCAAAACAGATACATTAGCAGTTCTTGCTACACTCGCAGATAGCATAGATGGATCCATAGCGATTATGCAGGCCTCGGGATTACCCTCGATCATGAAATTGCTGCAGTCGATAACATCGCCAGCAGGGAAAGAGTATTGTGTTTCGATTCTACACTCTCTATGCATCAATTGTGGAGTCGATGTTGCGTCTGTTCTGGCCAAAGACGAGTCTCTCATGTCGGCCCTTTATGCTCTTTTGACAGAAGGGACGTCTCACGCTAGCAAAAAAGCTCATTTGCTGATCAGGATCCTGCATAAGTTCTGTGAAACGAGCTCATCTCGTTTAATCCGGGGGGTTAGACATGAACAATTTGTTGATGTGAGGTAAAGTCTGTCTAGAACTTTTGTTGCATTCTTGTGTGAATGTGTTTAGAGTGGTCCTTTTGTGTTGATTTTTTTCTTTTTCTTGTTCTTTTTTTGGCCACATACAGTTTGATTTATGTGGTGATAGGCGTATAGCTCTATTTTTTGAGAGCTGATACTTTATGGGACATTGCTTTTGGAACTTGGAGATTATTTTTTTGTCTGTAGTTCTCAATGAAGTGTGGCATCATGCCCTTATACTTAATGTAGATTGAAGGTCGTCTTGATTTTATTTATCCATTCGTTAACCTTTACCAACTGCAATAAGATAATTTTAGCGTCTGTTTGGCCTCCATTAAAGCACTTTAATTTTTTTTCAGCCACTTTTCAACCCCTTTTTTTGCCCAAGTGGGATCCATTCTGCTGCCTTCCTGATCATTTGCAGTTACCACGTTTTTTCAAAAGGATTGTTGGTACCAATGGACGAAACCACCGTCCAATATCAAAACTAGATGACCAATTGAGGGGAGTGGTTGGGAGGGCAGTTTTGTCATTTAGTACTGTGACCAACAGTTACCCACCGTTTGAATTCTATTGCACTGCCTTACTTTACCACCCATGGGGCCTGCACTAGTTTGAGAAATTGAAAATAATGTGTCTTAATAGGGGCCAAACGGGGGCTTATATCGCTAAGGATTCAAAGTTGACCTGAGAAGTTTTGATGTCACCAAGGGATGGGGAGCTCTATAAACTTTCAGATGATTCAATTGTATTATTCTTGGCACATGAGAATTAGAAAGGAAATGAAATGATGATTTATTACCTAAGTTGCCTTTTTAAGGAGCAAGAGATCAAATATACATAACCCTAGTAATGTGTCCTGATCTTTTATGTGCAAAATCTAAGAGATTAGTTCCTCTAGAGATTCCCATGACTTTACTCCACTCTTTCTGATACTGGAGTTAGCGTGGCGTAACTTAAAGATTGAAGTTGAGAAAATTCATTTTCGTGTTATTTTCGAAGGTGTAATCTATGTATCATACCAACAAAGGTTTTTATGAGCTTCTTCTAATTCCACATCTTTGATGATGGAAAAAAATTAACAAAGAAGACAAATAATATTTTTAAAATTTAAATTAAAATAAGGTCATTTCTACCTAGAATAATGGTGTTCAACCTTATTGGTGTTACCATTAACCTTTGTGGCCTTGAGGTCATGCCATATTGTTCCATGCATAAAAATATATTATAGCTCTATTAGACAAAGTGGCGTATGACCCTACTATCATATAAATTGGCATTAAGTATTAGTGGTGCTAAATAACGTTATTCTTTTGCATAAGCGAGGTTTTTTCCTAGCGACTTTCAGTCTTTAAATATTTTTATTTATTCTGATTTATATCCCTTTTTTTTTTTAAACGGTTATAATTGTGATATAAACTTTATCCACGATAACTACTCTCAGGCCTGGTGGCTTGATTCTGCCCACGCAAAAACTCAACAATATTGCTCCGATCGATCTAATATGATTGACATCCCTAATTCATATAATACAATTATTTATTACGATTTTGATATACTTCACACTTCACCATGACTATCACCTTTAAAAGGTCTATTTGGAAGTAAAGGCTGACCCAAGGTAAAATAGGGAATAAAACTAGGGATTCCTCTTCTTTCTGTTGTTTGATAATCCAATTCATGTCACTAACCTACCGATAATAATTTGTCTCTACCATTATGACCTTGTTGGAGTCTTTGTTTAAGTTTTGAAAAAATTGTTGAAAGAAGGAAACAGAAATCTATTATTCTACATATCCTAGCCTGTAGACTTTAAAAAAAATAAAAATAAAATAAAAATGAAGTCATTTAGGGCCTGTTCGGTAGTGATTATAAGAATTGATTTTTCGACCGTTAAAGAGAAAAGTGAATCCTACCTGTAAATGAAGAAATCAAAAATGATGGTTGAAATAGTGACATAGCGACAAAAAAATTAATTTTTTCTGGTGAAAATTGCTACCAAACGGGGCTTAACATGTTAAGAAATAAGGGCTTTTTAAGAGAGAGTCAAGTCCCACCAAAATTAAGGAACAAGGACTTCATATCTAAGCGTAAGAACATAATAACACTCAAAAAGACCATTTTTGTTTTTTTGTATTTTTTTTTTTTTGTTTTTTGTTTTTTGTGTTTTTAATCAAAATTCAGTTGACTAAAGATAGAATATGATGAAATATTCAAAGAGTACTAAAAAAAAAAAAATGAAATGATTAACGTCAAAAATGGCCACACGATTAAGTTGTGAATTTTTTTTTTTTTTTATATACAGGTATCCATCTTACAATGACTAAATCATGAAGTCTACACCTTAGCCCTTCAAACTACGGACAGGTTAAACCGTAGGTTGTGCCCCAAACTGACCAGTGCTCAAGAGCCCTCAACTGATCTGTCAAAGTGTCAAGCAAGTCGTTTCTCATCTTTGCACTTTGCCTTCCAGTAAAGTTCCTGCCTTTCAGAATAAATCCTACCTTCCATGAGAATATTTACCTTTCAAGAGCCTTTCAGATTTCAATGAACAAGATGTGGAGGATGAACATTTTGACCACCATTCTTAAGATTACATATGATATTATTGAACTTCTAGTTGATTGCAAGGGGATTTCTAAATCCTTTTTGGTTTTCGTAAAGTCTGTCTTTTTTAGTATGGTTGTTCTCTCTCTCTCTCTCTCTCTCTCTATATATATATATAGACGTGACAAATTTGATTAGGTCAAAATTTCACCAATCAAATAAAAAGAAAAATTCTTCCAACTTCTTTTTGATATCTCATCAATCTATAAAAATTTATATAAATAGTGACATACAGCAAGCATTTTCCTTTTTAATAGGTCCCTATCCCTTCCATTGCATTTGTATCTCATTCTCTTGACCATCTCCTTTTACTGTACTCTCCCAAATCTCTTATTTTCTTGCGAATCGACATTATCCTTTGCTGTTCTTCTGGTTTTTCACAGAAATCCTACGGACAGTCATCTACCTCTTGTCATTCTTTAGATTTTTCATAGAATATTTACAAACTCAAGAACTATTTCATCAAACATTAAGAAATCTCTTAGAAATATTAGCTGAAGGAAAAAAGAAAGAAATATTGAAAGGAAAATACATATTAACTTTCTTTGCGCTGGACGTCCTTCTGTCCGTCCTTCCGTCCATATTCCGTTAATTAAATACAAAAATACATTTTTCTTTCCATAAACAAGGGTAAAATTGTCCTCACCCACTTCACCCCTTTTTCCCGCCATCAACTTAATCCATAAGTAACAGTAGCAGCAACATGAATCTGAAAATACTTTAAATGATTAAGTTAAATAAAGAAAAAATATCGTGAACACATTATATTTCACAATTCCACAACTACTGTTGCTGTCATCATGTGTCACTGGAAAATTTTAGAAAGACATATTAAATGGATAGTCAATTTATAATAAGCCAAAATGGTGAATGGCTCTTTTTGGCTCAATGGAGAAGATGAATGGCTCATTTTAAATTGACTCATTATAAATTGACTACCCATTTAATATGTCTTTCTAAATTTTTCCAGTGACACAAGATGACAGCAACAGTAGTTGTGGAATTGTGAAATATAATGTGTTCACGATATTTTTTCTTTATTTAACTTAATCATTTAAAGTATTTTCAGATTCATGTTGCTGCTACTGTTACTTATGGACTAAGTTGATGGCGGGAAAAAGGGGTGAAGTGGGTGAGGACAATTTTACCCTTGTTTATGGAAAGAAAAAGGTATTTTTGTATTTAATTAACGAAAAAACTGACGGAATATGGATAGAAGGACGTCCAGCGCAAAGAAAGGTTGAAATGAGGGCAAAAATGTCAAAAAATGAAAAGTATGGACGTTTTCCACAATAGACTTGAAAGGTAGGGACGTTTTGTGCCAATTACCCGAATGTTTAACGGAAAAACTGACGGAATATGGACGGAAGGACGTCCAGCGCAAAGAAAGGTTGAAATGAGGGCAAAAATGCCAAACAATGAAAAGTAGGGACGTTTTCCACAATAGACTTGAAAGGTAGGGACGTTTTGTGCCAATTACCCTTTTTATTTTTATATTTTTGTGAAAGTCTCCAAAATTTTGAAATGAATGAGAGACAAAATTTAAGATTTCATTTTAGTACTTTCTACTTAAAAATCAGTACACTAGAAGCTTATAAAAGTCTTTAAAAGTCATTAACAATTTGAATACCTCAAAACTTAAGGAAACTTCTAAAAAATTTAATTGAATATACTGTGATTTTCAAAGATTTTTTAAAAGTGCATAAAAAAATTGATTGAATACACCAATACTTTTAGAAAGTGTCAAGAAATCTACATTGAATATCCTAAATTTTTTAAATCTCAAGTCTTTAAAAATTTTAATTGAATACACCCCCTTAAAGTTTCAGTTAATTCTCACTTTGCTTAAGAACATTCTCACCATCTGACGACTTTCCTCTCTACAATCTACTTTCCTTTGGATTTCTCCACAGATTTCCCATATATAGATACAAAATTACTCCAGCAAACTGAAAAAAATTGCCACATATATATAGTTTTACGAATTTCTAAGATAGGGATTTGAATATGAGTTGTATTTCTGGCTTCGATTTGGGATTTCTTAGGTTTCAGTTACTTCTTTCGTCGATTTTGAGGGTTTTGTTTACGATTTAAAGCTTTAATCTCTGCTTTCACCCGTCTAGACTCAAACTTGTTAATGGCCAAAGCACCGGATCAATGGATTGATGGTTCAATGGACAAATTATTATCAAGTCAAAAATTCAAATAAAATATTTTTTTAATCAAAAAAGAAGCATAAATATTGATCATGAGTTTATGTGTTCTAATTTAAAATTTCATTTAACAATGAGTGTTAGGATATGAACCCCTATCAACTATTCACAACAGAGAATGGGTGGGTATTTTTTGGAAATTTTTATACAGGTACGTCCCTACATGGGAGCCACCAAATGTGAGTAGTCAGTACCTTTAACGATTATAATCTTTAATATTTTTCTTTTAAAAAACAATATATCGGAGCAACTACTCTTTTTTCTCTTGTTGGATAATCTAGTTCATATCACTAACCTAGGTATAATAATTTCTCTCTATTGACTCTCTTTAAAAAATGTCCCAGCATGTAGTGTCATACTTTAGGAAGAAAAATTATTTTAGCATGTCAACATCTCTTCATGTCCATGTTTCTAAGGTCACATTTATGAGAGAGCCAAATTCCACCAAGATAAGG